CACAGCGTATACTTCAGCGGAATATCAAAACAACGGCCCAGGGTGCAAAACGCATCAATGACAGCGACCCTCTACCACACAAAACAACACCTGTGAACCCAATTTGTGTTCTTTGACATTGAAAATGATATTGCATTGTGTTTGTTACTTTCGTTGCAGTTGTATGTCTTAAGTGTAATTTGGCATGCTTTTATTTTGAAGGCGAGTTCACGCTGTTGACAGGAAGTTGTTGTTGCTATGGAAACAAGAAAAGTTTCACAGCGGGCGGAACTTGTCATAAAGTCCGCGATAATAAAACACACCCATTTAGAGGGAAGATATGATTGGTCAATTGTACTGTCATTTGACATTACTCTCTCGTTCAGTTACTATAGCGGGCCCTCTGTGAATCGCAGAGAGGGCCAGACGAGCTTCTTTCATGATGTAACCCTTCACATTCAAACAGAGACTGAACAGGCAGATTCGAAGGATTTATTTCTTTGGAAATGTTATTTTAAATACAATTAAATCAAGTTTTTTTTCGGTAAAACTAATGAAAAATATAACAAAAATAATATTAAAAAAATATATATTTAAAAAATATATATTTTTAAAATGTTTTTAAATATTATTTTTTGGAATATCTTAGGCCCTCACAGAGGGCCTAGAGGGCCCTGATGGCTCGCCACTGCACAATACAGGAAAGGGAAACCCCAAAAAGCATGATAGGGTTTATTACACTAATGTTGAGTCTTTTTGAGGAGATCAGTGCAGCTCAGTAGCTCTTGGATGGTGAAGTAGGAAGCTGCACATATACAAGTATTTGAACAAAACACATGATGCATAATATGAACTGTATGTGGGCTGATAGCCATCTGGTTAGGGGCTGTGCAGGGTCTCCTCCCAGCAGGCAACTAAAGCTGTGAGCCAAGACCCCAGGCCCAACACCCTGCCAGACTTTGAAATCAGATCTTTATTGTCCATAAAGCCTCAGCCAAGTATGAAGAATCAGCCCTCCCTAACAAAACACCACTCACCCAGCAGAGAGAGGGACAAGACATGAGAGAACTTGGGGGTGAGTGAGACAGACAGAGAAATGGAGAAGAATTTGGGGAAGAATGAGAGGGTAAGGTGTTTGAGAGATAGATGTGGAGAGAGAGCAGCCAGTTCAAAGCATAGTACAATGATCACGCTCACAACTATGCCACAGTTATTTATAGCTCATTGGGAGATAACTCAATTTTCATAACTTTCTAATTTTGTTACGGGTGGTCCCAGTTCACATATCAATTCAGCACTCTGTGGAGTTCTCTGCTACAACATCAAAGTATGTTCTGTAACAGCCACTTGCATGCTTTTTATTCACCTTGTTTTGTGATATATAAAAGGGCAATGGAGAAGAAAGAACATGTAAAAGGTGAACCTAATGACCTAACTCTTTATAGTTTCTGCAAAGCAAAAGAGTAATAACAGATACTTCAATGCAGCCCTTCTGAAGAGTTATGCAAAGTAAAAAAAATGTGTGGCTTCAGTAAGGCCAGATGATCACGAGATAAGCAGAGACTGATTTCAAAAGATGGGTTCTGCTCAGAGATTAGGCATGATGCCTGCAATGGCCTAACATAACCAGATGTAATAAAGGTACATTTATAAAAACAGTATGGCGCTTTTCATAAAACTGACTTAGCTTTACATGGAATGACTTTTTTGGGCTTCAATCTATCATCGACCTACATTGACAGTTCTGTTACAACTGACTGTCCTCAAACTTTTCAGTTGAGTTGGGAAAATATCCACAATGGAGATCCACTAGCCCTAACCCTCCAATATATTTTACCATCTTCTCAAGCTACCTGGTTTAACTTGCAGTTTGATGGTAGGTCACATGTTGCATTCATGTCATGTGGACGATCACTGTATTAACAATTTTGCAACCAGAAGAACATTTAACATGGACAGAACTCCACAAAAAGCTTGTATTGCCAAATTAGGTTTTTTTGGCTAATGTGTTAGCAATCCATTTCAGTTCAGCAGAAGTTTAGTCATGTTCCTGGAGACCTGACAAAGATAAGCTCTTATTCCAGCCATGTTTTTGTCCCTACAAACTAATGATGAGAAATATCCAAAGCTTTGTCATGTTCACAAGCTAATTGTTAACTTTGTCTGCCTGCTTTTTTCTGATTAATTTATCAGAGCCTTTTTGGTGAACACACGCCTTATGCAACTTGAAATTTGTTTGAAGAGAGAATTAAGAGAAAACCATAAAGGACATTTTTGTTTTTATATGTGCATCGTTTTTGAACATGCAGCATGTTTCTCAGCATTGTAGCGGTTTGCACATGTCGGCAACCGTACATTACGATTGGAAAGCGTTGTTCAACATCATGATATAAAAATAACATTCTATCTTTATTAATTTAACTATCTTTATTGTAATAAAGACGTTTTTTTTTTCATGGGAACCATATATAAATCTCATTCAAACACCATGGTAAATATCTTTATACACAGGGCTTGAAATGAAGACCCACCAAATGCAGCTTAAAGGTAAGTGGGGCAGTTGGCAACATCAAAGTGGTAAATCTAATTCTGATACTCCTATTAAAGGCTGTATCACAATCGTCTGCACTAAGCAGTAGGTGTCATGTGTACGGAATGACACAGTGTGTCCAAGCACATTATGTGGTATTTATGTGTAAAAATAACTTGCCAAAGAGTTCAGGCCAATGTCTCAGAGTAAGAAGAAATGATCTTGCTCTCTATCCAGTAGCTAATATATTTATAAGCTGATGTTTAAAAATATATAAGCCTTTATTATGCCCCGTTAAGAGAAAGGGCATGCTATAATAAGTGGCATGTCAGGTCACAACCACTAAAATGTAATATACATTTGAAAGGTCTGCATTTACTACAGTCGACCATCAACACTGAATGCATGCAATACAAAAAGCTTGTTTTCTTCCACGATATGATACATTTCAATTAAATCTATAGACTGAATTGATTGAGGACTTGAATGGATGTGATGCCCAAAAGAGAGCTCAAAGATACATTTTCAAGAAATCTGAAATCGTAGGCTTAATGTGTTGCTGCCAAACAGCTTCATAGAAAAAAAAGTCAGTAAACTATCAGAAAATATAGATGTCATGATGAGAACAAGTCCAGAACAGGGACCATTTAAGAAATTCCCAAGACAGGACCGTGTTTTGAAAGCACATGAATTGCACTTTCATAGCCATATTTTTGGTCACATTTTCAGAAGTATTACCACACTATGATTATATGACCAATATAACGCATTAAAATAACATTTGACAAATCATAAGTCTGTACAGGTTGATGTCGATGCTGCAGGAAAATAAAAGGTACAGTACGATGGCCGACAAGTACAAGAAACATGCTTCACTTTAAAAAACTATGCAAAAATAAAAATAAAAATGTGCAAAGACACATGCAAATGAAGAAAAATCTTCAACAAATTGACAACACAACATTGATGGCAGAGTATGTCTGGTTCATACATATTAGTAATTTGTCAATATATTTGAAATTACTAAGTTATCTAACATGCGACTGGGACAATGGGCAAAAAATGACACTTCAACTAGTGTTTCCACCTTGAGTAAAATGTGACTCCTATTTTTAACACTAGAAATGTTTGCATCAAGTTGACACGTTTCATTGTCAACTTTAAATATGAGGTACAGCAAAGGTTATGGTTTGTGCAATAGTTAATAAATCCGAGGCCTTCATAAAAGAAAGTCGTTCTAGTGAGTTTGCCTTGTGTTACACTTGTGATTGATTGGATCCCTGCAGTGGAACGAAGTCGGGTGTCAATGCTTTTATGGACGACTACAGTATGGTGGTGTTACATTTCAATGGATATGCCCTTGGCCAGATAGGTGATAATACTATCCAGTCCACACACCACACACCCACACACACATTTAGTCACGCATAACACACAAAACAAGTCTTCTTAAAGGTCCCATGTCATGGCCATTTCTACTGATCATAATTCCATTGTTGAGGTATACTAAAATCGATTTATATTGTGCAATTTTCCAAAATCGCATTGGTTTCTCATACAGCATCTCTGTATAGTATGTGTATTCACTCTCTGTCCTAAACGGCTTGTTGGAGCTCCTGCCCCCCCCCCCCCCCTCCCTATGAGCCCAGTGGCCGTCTGCGAGACAGCGAGACACAGCGAAACCCAGCCCGAACACACACACCCGCAGCCTGGCTGGGAGTTTGTGTGTGTGCCCGTGTGTGCCCTACTCACAGCCTCGCCGCGTCCCGCCGTCTCAGGGAGGAGAAATCGGCGGAGCTGCAGCTGAGAAAAGATTGAGTGTGTGAGGAAGTCCGCGGATTGGTCAATTTGGACCAATCCACGGACTTAACGTAACGGCTCCGCGGACGTAACGTAACGGCTCCACGGATTGGGTCCATTTGGGTATGGGCACGTCACTGTACCCAGGAAGAAAAAGAGAAATCTCCAAGGAGGCGTTCTGGGGCAGCATAGACAGGTATTTTCTGTGTTAGAGTTTTACTTGCTACAGGGTGTACTTTGAGGGTTTGTGACTTTGCAGACCGTTTACATGCATAAAAACCTTCATAACACACAAGGGGACCGGTAATAACCGGAAAAGCATGACATGGGACCTTTAAGACTTTTTTGAGGCAACTGATTAACTTTGGCTTCTTTTGTGTACAGAAGAGTTGATGTGCAACAACAGTTGTCTAACTAAAGTTAAGAAGTAACTGTTAATCTTTTTTAAATGTTTTGCTAAATAAAAGACATGACACACTCAGATTACTTCAGAAGGTGCCAGCCTGTTGGCACAGATATAAAAAAAAGGTACCACCACACCTGTGCTGTCGCTGACATCATCTCATTCCATAAACTCTAATTTCGGGTGCACCGTAAACACACTGTGTGACAGCTCTGAGTGTGTGTCTGTGTGTGTGTTTACCCCCTCTCTGCTCTCAGCCGGGTCCTCCTGAAACTAATTGCAGTTTCTTTCTCTCTCCCTCTCTGAGTGACAGCGAGGATTTCGCTTCGCCCGGAGCGACGTCACACCAAGGTGGAAGAAGAAGAGCGCATTTTTCCTCCCTTTATCATCCAAAGAAAACACATCGACAGACTGTGGCACACACAGACGCCTCTACATGCAGCCGGTGCGCACCCGAAACCACTTCTCCAAGTTCATCTGTGCGTCAGGGCACAGCGCGCAGACAACGAAGAACCTCCAACAAATGTATTTCTTACAGCAGTGCTATTCTTTTTTCAAAAATATAATTTCATTGTTTTTAATATCCCCAGAGTGGCGAGACTCCCGATTGTCCTCATAACCACCGTACGCTTTTCCGCAGTCAGCGAGGACTTCCCGGCTTTGAGACACTTCTCCTTCCTCATCTGACCTTTTTGAAAGCATGTTATTGTGCAGCGACATATAGTGCAGAACGATAATGAAGAGGTTAACCACACTTTTGAAAGCGGACATCTCTTCAGTAGCCTCTTGACCAACTTCGTTGCGCATTAAGATGCGCCCCACCGAAGAGGATTTGGATGAGGAACTTTTCGCGCTCTTGGTGACAGACAGTTTCCAGTGAGCTTTATTGCTACCGACAGAAATCAAGGACCTCCTATGTATTTAAGAAATAATCCAACTCGGTGTTGGCTGAGCTCGTCAGTTCTGTAAACTTTGCCGGGGGATCTCCTCGAGGATTTGCTGCGTTCACCATGAGGGTTCGTCTATCACGGATCCAACTGGCCCTGTTCTTTATCTTGCTCTGCCCGGTCAATATCATCGGACTCTGGTGGTAAGTGCTCTGTATTTACCACGTGTGTTAAGTTTCGTGTCAACCTGAGATTTAAACGATCTCACCTGGCTTGGTTTTATTTGTATTATGGGGCTTACTCATGTTTGATAAACCTTCACAGCACCTCACACACCTCTCAGCGTTTCACCTACATAGACCATTCTGTCTGCGTTTTTATGGAGTGTGGTCAAAAGACAGAGATGCATATATTCAATGCAGCATATAAAAAAGGAACTAACATATTTAAAGAATGCATTACAATTGGAAATAAGAAGAGAAGAACAACACCGGTTGCCTACATGTATTAAATAATCTAGTTGGTTCAAAAATAAATAGAGAATATTATTATTTTCATGTTTTGAGACAATATTAACCTAAACACAGCTTAAGATAATAGAAAAGTTAACCATAAGTCAAAATATGTCTTAATGGTTCTGGGGAAAATGGGTCCCCAGGGTGCAGGACAAAGAGACAGAGGAACAGGAGTGGTGAGAGAGGTGTCTGCTGCTCATTGCCTGCAGTAATACACGAAGGAGAGAGGACAGGGAGATTTGTGGAGGTGGTGTGTGTTTGTGTGTGTGTAGTGGGGGTTCAGAGTCAGGAATGTCAGGTGGCCCTCTAGGCGCAGTGGATATGTCATCATAAAACAATCCATAAGGGCTCAGCTTCGCAAGGTGTGTGACAGTCGGACAGACAGACAGACCTTGCAGATCTGCTGATAACATATTTTCTGTCTGTCTGTCTGTCTGTCTGTCAGAGTTCCCGTTAGAATATTTTTTTGCCGGTCAACATGTCCGTTAAAGTTGAAATCTTCCGGACAAAATGAGAAAAGTGCCGGTCAAAGGTCTTCCTTGTTATTTATTGAGCTTTTAAACAAATTGATATGATTCGATATTAAACAAACTAATTCTAGTAGATTAACTACATTATTCAAAAGTGTACAGTAATTTATAACACGGGAATAATAAACGGAGCGCTCTCTCTCCCTCTCCTGACAGCCCGTCAGTATCATGCAGCTCGCGGATCCAGTAATGAGTGACCCGACAGTAAAACTAAACATATCTATAACTAGTTTAGGTAGTTTGAGAGGTAATTAAAATAGCTACGTGTGATATTCTAACCTAAGCGTGTGTTTTGTTCCGCTCACCGCTGCATGTGATCATGCAGAGCTGCGTGTCGACTCGTCAGCAGCAGCTGATCTCTCTCTCCCGTCAGATTAGACTTCACTCGCGTTTATGTCCATATCGATCAGATCTAGCTAGTTCTAGCTAATTATATGACTACCTGCTTATTAAAAGACACCTAAACAATAAGCGTCGCTATGCACCCGGGTGAGGCCACAAAGTATAGTACAGCATTATGCATTTGTTTACATGCCCACCGGAACCCCGAAGCATTACCAACAGATCAACGCACAATCAACCCATACAGGACACTCTTTCTCCACATTAAATGTTAGACATTAGAATTGACTATTCTTGTCTGTCACATACTATTCTTGTCTGTCACATAAGCGGTGCAACTGATGCGGTATTGCGCTAAAGGGAAATTATTTTTGACCGGACATTTTGACCGGAGAGATTTAGATTTGCCGGTCTTCAGCATATTTTACCGGTCATAGTCCGGTAATTACCGGCTAACGGAAACTCTGCTGTCTGTCTGTCTGTCTGTCTGTCTGTCTGTCTGTCTGTCTGTCTGTCTGTCTGTCTGTCTGTCTATCTTTCCAACTGTCTTCTTGTGGGCAGAGTTTCATTTGACAAGATCTAATATTTATCTCTGTCTTGCCCTCTCTCTTTATCACACACAAACACAGACACACTCACAAACTTCTGCAAAGCGGCAGTGTTTGAATGTGAAGCTTTGTGATTTTTTCTTTTCTTCCTTTCAGCGAATCCTCCCACTGTTCATTCACAGCCCAGTCAAGGTCACTGTGGGTTGTAGTGTCACAGAGGCTGTGTAAGTCTTCTCAATGTCCTTATATGACTGGCTGATGGTCTATCAGCTTCACAGGAGGATGTTTCTTTGAACGTGAAGTTTTCCATTATTCTGTCTCTTCAAATGCCTACATTATAGACCTGTGAGGTAAACGCATAACCTGTGGGGAATTTAAGAATTAGATGGAATTACCATTGTTAGGAAAAATTGATAGTTTCTGTAAGGATCTAGGAAGAATTGATTGGATGTGGAAAGGAAAATATGACCTGCTCCCAATTGCCTTGGTGAAATAACTGACTTGATGAAAGGACCTCCCATACTGTTGTAAAAGTGAGGTTGCATACTGACAATGGACATGGGTTTCAAGATATCTTGTCGGAAAGCATGTTATCTGCCTGGGTGTACTTTGACAAGACAATGCAGTGCACAAGCATACACAACCTGCATGTAACGCTTGTGTTCTTAGGATGTTTTTACATTCACAATTAGATGCCTGAAAAGCTGAAAAGCTAAAAAAATCCTTTTCTGTTCTCTTTTTGTTGGCAAACTTCAAGAATGCATCGAAGCAAGCATCTGTTTAGAAAAACGACACAGTCCAGTCTCAGCTGGGTAAACCTCCGTCCTTTCTATCAAATGCTCTTCATTGTTTTGGCTAGTTCGTCTGCAATAAAGCCAGACTTGTAGTTTGTGCTCTATATGTTTATCTGTTGTATTCTAGCTTGATCAGTTGTTTGACAAAATTCACATGGATACGGATGAGATGTGTAACATGACTGAGTGATCACAAAGAGGGTAAGCTAAGTTAACTCTTGTAACTTTACTTGCGACCGGAGAATCATTTCTTGATTGGTTTCCAGAAGCTCGGTTTTCCATGTCCACGCTAAAACATCAACAGGATTTTCAGGGACGGGTTTACTGGAGACAGTTTTTGGAAAAGCTCAGTTTTCAGCTGTGAGAAAATGCAGCCTCAGGAAAGATGGAGGACATAGTATTGACAAAGACGGGACAGTTTAAGCCAGAGGGGTGCTGATCTGTAGCTGAACTGTGCGGTGACCCAGCTGTGAAGGGTTGTAGGGAAAAACAATATCCCTACAGGGGTCAGTCATTAACATTGCTTTCAAACCCTTTTGGGCAAAATCATGTCAGACCTAGCCTGAATCCATTAAAAAAAAGATGACAAAAAACTCAAGAAGATAGTACATTATGGTAATAAAATACTTTCCTTTTACCTACAAACAAAAGAGTTATTCATTTATATGCAGCATTGCTTAACAATGGTGGGATTAACTGGAAGACACGAAAGACTGGGTAAGAGAGAATAAAACACACATTGGTTACTGAATTCGTAAGAAACTTTGATTTAGCACACCCTTTTGTTAAAATATATTTAATCTCTGTAATAGCAGTCTATGGTCAGCACATTCTGCAGGACATTCATTTAAAATAAAGCTGTAGTGGATTAAGGGAATCAACACTAAGGAATCAATGACTTCCTCTTTATTCCCACTGACATGCGTTGTCATCTTCTTTCACCTACTCACTTGTTGCACAGACACACTCATACACACACACACTCCTACACAGGGGTGCAGCTAGGGTGAAGCTATACACCTGTGGATTGCTCCCGGGGTCTGCCAGGACAATGATGCTCTCTGTTGAAAGCTGCTGGACATACCATCGATACATCTCTCTTTCTCTGTCTCATGCTCGCTCCCCTTCAATGTCTCTGTATGTCTCTTTAGCCGTACTATCATACAGATAGGTTGTCGCTGAAGGAAAAGCGAGAGAGCTGCAGTGAGAGACGGCGAGTGAGGCAGATGAAATGCGGGGAGATAGCTGTCCTTTCAGAGCCTCTGCTGATTAGAAGCACTCTAATCATTTGGCCTGAGAGCAGAGACTCAGAGGAGTGAGGAATGCCTTTGCTCTCTTATACTGATTTTGACCGCAGTGCTTAGGAGGGCCAACTAGTATGTGTGTTTGTGTGTGTGTGGGTCTGTCACACAGACCTAGTTTGGCAAACAGCCCGCCCGGAGTGTGCCACAAGCCTACAGGTGCACACACACAGCAGTTTGTGTGTGTTTCAACTTTCTCCTTTGTTTGTATATTGTCATACTGGAGACACCTACTGTAGAGGGAACTGCCACACAAGAATGTTTATATTTGACTGTCTGTCTGTACATCGGCCCTCCGTTTGCCGTCTGAGAAAATAATTTGTTAGCGTGATAGTGTTGCAACTGTTTAAAATTCCATCACAAAACTTCACAAACTCATTTTTAATCGAAATAAAGGTTGATTTGCTAAACGGGCATGGTCAATTTATGGCAACAATATCAAAGTATTTTACAATCTGACGAAGAAGGGCAAAAACTGTTCTCATTGTTTGAGGTTAGCTGAGAGAGCTTGAACTGTACATTTGAAGCTAACGTTAAGACTCCGTTAGCTTAGCCCATGTTTTGATGCCTTTGGAACAGGCTTTAGAATTGGCGACACGGCTATTCTGTCCTATTGCAACACGGTCTGTAGTTTGATTATTTTTGTGACAGTCAGAATACATCTCCATCCAGTGGATCCACGTTAATCAGTTTAACATGCACTCAGAGATGAACAAATGCACTCATTCAGTCATACAGTTTTGGGAAAATATACTATACACATACGCACGCCCACATAGCCTCTATAGTCAGAACCACCATCATTACCAGAAGAGAGTCTCATTGTAACAGATCTTATCTTGTCTGAAAAGCTAGATGTCTAATCAGGACCAGAGAGATGGGTGCAGATAAAGATTAAATGACGATGTGGGTTTGGCATCAGGGAGAGACGTGAATTAAATATGTTTATGTGTGTGTGGCTATGTGTGTGTTTGCGCTCTTTTTGGTTTTTGTGGGATTTCATACTTTATATATGTTTGTTCCAGTGTCAGAATTATATACAGTAGACTAGTGGGTAAAATGGTCCAGGGAATGTCAATATGTCTGTAATTCAACGAAGAAGGGCAAAAACTGTTGCCAAACTCACGGATTTGGGGTTGGCTGAGCCTGCTTGAAATCGTAATGTTACATTTG